TGGCCCTATGTCATAGTCTCAGTTTTGAATAAATGTCCTCTGATGATAGTACAGGCCCTTGACCTTCACTCTCTTACTAATCATTTCCAACTTAGAAGAGCCATTACACTAGAACCACATAACCACTTTTCATATTTCTTATTGTGAATAGTTTGAATTTCTCTCATCTTACTATTTTTTCTTTTTAATAACCTTGACTTTATGTTAATTGTTTAAAGGCAGGTAAAATCATAATTTTCTATAGCGGCTAGGTTGATTTGGGGGTGAGGAAATCTTAAATGACAACACAGTAATAAATTCACTGGCCCTGCTCACTAGAGAACCCTGTTCTCATTTTGGATTATGGGGCACTTCAAAGTAATAGTGAACTAGACTGGACTTAATACCAGTCTTTCTGTTTGTAATATTGTCCAGTTATCAAAGCTGGGATGCATTATTATTGCCAGTTACACTTGCTATCAATTTGTCTTGGCTCAATTGTGGTTTTATTTGTATTTTAATATAGTGAATTTATCGAATTGAGTTGTTAGTTTAACAAGATCTCTGGAGAACTCTTTCGTGATGATGCATCTTGAGATATGCTAGGTAGCCTCAAAGTTATTTGTGTGTCAACCTACAGATATCCAGTCTATGGGAGAGGTAGAAAAATAATGGTAAATACTCTCATCCAGAATTAAACCAAGAGTCTAATAATTGCAATTTATAGCATTTATAATTATGAACAGTTGTATAACTCAGTTGTCCCAGCCAAATTTTTTCAGCAATTTTTGTTTTGGCTTCCTTGAGCTTTTGGAATTTTATCAGAATGCATTATTTTGCTACCTATATGAAATTCTGGTAGTTTAAGGGATTACTCACTTCTGTGCTTTACACAGGAATTTTATCACCATGACTAGATAACTGGAGTGGGAAGTGGAATTGCTAAAAAAAACATGCTATCAGACTAGTAGAAGGCTATTCACACTGGTACTCAGGAGGTTGTTAGAGTGTATACACTTTGTAAGCTTGATGAGAACAAGATTTAAAGTGGCAAATCTGATGAAAGTCAAATACAGCTTGGAGCAGCCAGGCTCTATAGAGTCCTTTCTGAAGTTTAGCCCCATCAGTTTACATAACAGAGTAGAGGAATTAAGAGGACCCAAACATGTCTTCCACTCATTCTGCTCTACCCCTCCCATCACCTACCTAAGAAGGAATGCTTATATAAAGAAACCTAGAAACTAGTGTGTTGGAGTGATTGTCCTTGGTGGTAAGGGAAAGGACCAAGAGAATGGAATTTAAGAATGTTGAACATTCTTTTCATTTCCTTGTCCCTTTCATAAGTTATAGAAATTTCACAATAACTATATTGCAGTCGCTCATTGGTGCCTCTCATACTTCATCATCTGTAAAATTAATGGAGTGGATAGGATGATTCCATTGCTATTATCCTGTAACAGCAAATCTCAAAACTTTTTGGTTTCAGGATTCCTTGGCAGTCTTAAAAATTGTTGACAGGCCCAAAAGCTATTGTTTATATAGATTATATCCAGGGATATTCTTGAGCCCACTTAGACTGGCTCGAGAGTTCATTGTTAAATTTTCAGTGTGAGCATTTACAGCTAGTAGCTAAGTGGCCCAGTGAATAAAGAAAGCACTGGACCTGGAGTGAGGAAGACCTGAATTCAGATGCAGCTTCAGTCATTTATTAGCTGGGTGACTTGGAGAAGCCACTTAACCTCTGTTTGCCTCATTTCATCAACTGTAAAGTTAGGGTAATAATGGCATCTGCATCCCAAGATAGTTGTCAGGATCAAACAAGATAAGATATGCAAATCATTTAGCACAATTCTTGCCAAGTAGTAGGTGTTTTATGAAATCTAGCTATGGTGGTGGTGGTGGTGGTGGTGGTGGTGGTGGTGGTAGAGGAAGAGGAAATGTGGTAGAAATCTTTTCCCAAGAATTTTGTGAGAGTATTTTCACCTAGTATTTCTACCCTGCTCTTCTCTGTTCATGTGAACCATACCACTTAATCAAGTGTTCATTTTTCCCCTCTGTGGAGACTTCTCTAGTAACTCCAACCAACAGCGATCTTTTCCCTGCCTGGTCAGTAGTAACACTTTTCCTTGAAAGTTTATATTTTGACATCTGAATATAGTAAATTTAGCACATTTTTATACAGGGTGTCCCAAAAGTCTTAGTATAGTTTGAAGCCTTAATAGTTTTAACAGCTTAAAACTGTACTAAGACTTTCATGGATATCCTGTATAATGTCTTTTGTTTTCTGATATGTCTAAGTTTCATCTCCACAACAAACATCTTTAGTGCAGGGAATTTTTTTTTTTAAATTCTCGCAGTATTTAGAACCATGCTAGGCAAATAATAGAAACCTTGTAAACACCAGGTGATTGAATTGGATATTTTGCCACCACTGTTTTTCCTCCCTTCCCCTTTGCTGCATCCTCTGGAGGATGTTGCTGTTGTGGTACTGATGCTATGAGCCTCTTGTTGAAGAACCTAGCAAGATAGAGTGTGAAGGTATGATAAGTTGTAAGGCTCTTGACTTCTCTCTTCCATGCTCCAGTGCGGAGCAAGGAAAAGACATGATTTATAGCAGCTAAGTGTCCTTCTTTCCCCTACCTGACCTGAAGTCCAGAAATTGTATAATTGAAACTTGACTGTGTCTTAGTGAGCAGAAGGCCAATGTACATGAGAGGGAAATGATCTCTATAGAATGTACCTTGGTGGCAGGGACTGTTCTGTTTTTGTCTTTGTTTCTCCATTTCCTGGCATAGTGCCTAGTACACCAGCACTTAATAATTGCTTGTTTGGTTAGTTAATGGTGACAGTTTGCTCTGGCTGTCTCAGGTTTACAAAATTGAATCAGTGCTTCTCTAGCCTTACTCACTGATTCTGACTCTATTCATTTAGTAGTGTATTTTGGACAAAGGCACTTTATGCCAAGCTCTAGAGTATCCAGAAATTTGAATCTCAAAATTTCTAGACTCAGAATCAGAAATTTTTTAGCTGGAAATTATCTCACTTATACTACTCATATGTTTGTTGACCAGTGAAGAAATGGAGGCTTAGAATCTTATCTAAAATTGGAACTATGCAACAGTTATTGGCACATTTAGGTCTTTTCCAATGAGTTATTGAGGAATTAATAGTGTAATATCTTAATTAATATCTTGAAAGCATCTACTGGAAAATGGATCAGGTTAATTTTTGGTTTGTAAATCTTGGGCCAGTGACTTCACCACTCTGGGCTTCACTTTCCTCATCTGTGAAATGAGTGAGTAGGTTTTTCTACTCGATCTCTAATGGCCCTTTCAGTTCTAAAAATATTCTCATTCTGTGAGTATGAATTTCCCATGACCTAAACTTCATATCATACTTATGGCAGTTAAATAAAACTTCACTGATCAGTGTAGCTCCCTTTTTGTACCATTAAGACAGTCCTCAACTAGTTTGCCATTCTTTAGAGAATTTCACTTTTAAACTAAGCTTGTTCATTCATAATTGCTTGATGAGAGGGAGAATGGCATAGTGGTTTCAGAGCTGGCCTTGTAGTCAGAAGACCTATGTTTCAGTCCTGCCTCTAACACATACTAATCATGTGGCTGTGGACAAGTCATTTAAACTCTCAATCCCCCAGGCAGCTCTTTCAGACTAAATTTTGGATCTTCATCTGCGAAGCCTCCGAAGTGGAACATTCCTTACATCATTAAAATGATTGATCTGCACCCCTCCCTCCCAGTTGAACTCAGGCCTAAGGGATAGCACCTTTGCTCACTGTTCTGGGTGTAAACTTACTGCCCTCAGATGTGCCCATTCTTTTCAGGACTTGAACATTTCCATTCAGGATTTTTTATTTTTTGCTTTACTGTAGATAACAAACAACACGTCTAAAACTGGGCATTATATTTCCCCCCAAACCCTCCTCTTTACGATTTCCATATTACTGTCTGGGTTGCCACCATCCTTCTAGTCATCCAGGCTTTCAGCCTGAGTGTCATCCTCAGTTCCTCACTCTTTCTCTCACACATCCAGTCTGTTGCTAAGTCTTGTCAGTTTTACCTTTATAGCATCTCTCCTCTGACACTGCCATCACCATAGTGTTGGCCTTTATCACCACGTGCCTAGACTGTTGAAGTAGCCTACTGGTTGATCTCTCTGCCTCAAGTCTCTACCCATTCCAGTTTAACCTCTACTCAGCTATCAAATTGATCTTCCTAAAGCATAGATTTTACCATGTCACACCCTACCATCACCCTCAATCGGTAAACTCCAGTGACTCCTTATTATCCCCAGGATCAAATATAAAATCCTGTTTGGTGTTCAACATCCTTCATAACCTGGCCCCTTCCTACCTTTCCAGTCTTCTTACAGGTTACACTCTCTCTCCCCCAATGTTCCCCTGTATATTCTACCATCCATTGATACTGGTCTCCTTGCTGTTACTCATCTCAGTCACTCCAGCATCAGACTGCATTTTCACTGGCTGTCCTCCATGCCTGGAATTCTCTGCCTCCTCTTCTCTCCCTCCGTGGCTTCTTTCAAGTCCCAGCTAAAATCATACCTTCAATGAGAAGACTTTCTTGATCCCCTTAATATTAGTTCCTTCTGTTGCTTATCTGCATTGTATCCTGTATATAGTTTATATTGTACATAGTTGTTTTTGTATTTGCTCTCTAATTAGGCTGTGAGCTCCTTGAGAACAGGGACTATCTTTGATTTTTTTTATGTAACTTTGTTAAGTGGGTACTTGATAAATGCTTATTGACCAACAATACTGAATGCTAACTAATGAACGTGGTATAGTATGGAAATAGTTTGGGGCTATGTACTTAAGAGCCAAACTAAATTTGTATTTTCATAGCTCCCTTAGTATGTTAAATGTGTGGAAAATTGGGTCATACATGTTCCCCAGTATGTCGCCATTGCATTTGTCCTGCTTCCAAACATACAGGGTCATAGAGACTGTTACTTGACTGATATCACTGCCTTTTTGTTTCTAGGTGGGCCATGCACAGATATAGCTCATGTCTCATTAATCACGCCAACCAAAAGATCCTGTGGCACAGGTACGTACACCATTCCTTCATTTTGAAATTCTTTCCATTACCTAGATACTGAATTGCATTTGGTGTGCTTGCCAACATTTTGTCTTTCTTTTTTCTTTGAATTTTGAAATGACATGGAAGTGGCAATAGAAAGATCACAGTGTTGTTCATGGGATCATATTGACTTACCTAGTGATAATAGCTCACATTTATGAAACACTGTGTGGCTCACAAAGTGTTTTCTTCACAACTCCATAAAGCAAATAATGCAGATATTATCATCTTCATTTTAAATGAGGAAATTGAGGCCCCTGATTAGGTTAAGTGTCTTGCCCGAGATCAGACTGTTGTCCTGAAAGGCACCTTGGAGTAGTTGACAGAGTGCTGGATTTGGAATAAGGAGGACCCAAGTTTACATCCTGCCTCTGACACTTAACCTGTGTGGACATGGAGTCAAAGGAGCAGAAAAATCTCTCGGCCATTCTATGTTCCAGGCAATTTTCTCTGACTTTAAATTGCAGTGAATATTTTCATCTGCATTGGTAGATGAAGTTCCTTCCCAGGAATTGCCAACACCAATATCATCATAAGTCCAGTAAAAAGAGGGAGTGCTTTTAGCACCAACCTCGCAAGGTGAAGATCTAATAATTTATGTAGAGTACTTGGCAAACCTTAAAGCATCATGTAAATATTAGCATTTATTAAGCATCAGAGCTAATGTTTGAACCTCAAGTATGTTTGAACCCTTTCTGGTGGTTATTTTTTGATGGCCCCAGAACAGGAAGTAGGATTTGACTTCTTGGATATGAATGCATGCATATATTCATTTCCTGGCTTCCTCTCAGGTGACTTCTGTGTGAAGAATGTTGCACAGGCATGAAACTTAGAGGAAACACTGGTACTTGCCATGTTCCTAATCTTTCTGAGCAGAAAGAAAATCTCATGAAAATCCTTTATATAAAGTATGGGTGCCAGAGAGTGAGGGAGGTTGTGGTGCATTTAATAAGTGTTTTGACCTGACTGATGTAGTACAATAGGTCTTTTCAGTCACTCATTCTCATACCATTTTGTGATTTCTTATTCTTTTCCCAGTCTCAGGAACTTGGAAACATCCTTGTGCATTTGTGGCATTTTTATTAAACATGAAGTCATGAATCCTGTAGCTTTCCAAAGAGGAGAAACAGTGCCTAATGCTCTCTTCCTCTATAGCTTAATTTATTTTAAACAGTGTTTCCCATTTCTAATAAGCCTGCCTGCTATTTAAAATATCTCAGAGATTGTATTTGGAAGAGTCAAAATAATTATATTGTTCTTCCAAAGGTCACAGCCAAGGTATTTTTCATAGTTGTCAAAATCTTTTCTTTAAAGCTCTCTATCAGAAATTACAAGAGCCATGCTAACTTAAAAAAAAAATCAACACAGTTACATGAAAGATTTTTTTGGGGGGAGGAGGGAGGTTTGATTTAGAAACACCACTTTTTCTCCCCCAGAATTTTAGAGCAGTCACCTGTCTTAGTTTTTTTTTTTTTTTTTCCAGAACGCCCTCCACAATACTACTGATAGTAGTTTACTTTTAGACAAGGTCAGGTTAATTTCCCTCACAACTGCTCAGTTTTATGGAATTATATATATGAGAGCAATGACAGTACTATTCTGTTCTAGTTCTAGGCTTTCTAGATTGGGGCAGGAATGTGCAATGCCCTGGGAAAAGATAAATTGTGTCTTGGTCACAACAAATGGGAAAAGAAAGATATATCCACCCAACACTGCATAACAGCAGTATGGTATCAGAAGTCGTTTTTCTGCTCCTTTGACTCCATGTTCTGTGAACAGAGAACCTTATAGGTTAGGTGCCAACATCACCTGGTTATTTGCCATTCTATGATGAGTGTACTCCAGGAGTACACTGTCTGGTTCACACTTCATTTCCACTTTATTTCCACCCTATCCCCTAGCTGCCTGGTTGCAGAGATCAACACATGTGTGATGGTACCCCCTTGAACATCCTGGTCTCCTTGCTTGTCAACCTCCTAAACTCTTGTGAATTCCTTTTTTGTTCAACATCAGCCACACTTAGTCATAACCTGGTCTCATTGTCACCTCTCATGGTTTTGCTGGAACTTTGAACTGCCTATCTCTGACCAAAACCATCTGTCTCATTTCTTTAGTCCTATCTTTCATCTTCAATGTTAACTTTTTTTGTTTTTCTCAAACCCTAACCCCAAGTTATCTGTATTGTTTTCCTTTATTGCTACTGAATCCTTCTGGGAAACTTCATGGAACTGTGCTAAGTAGGTTCACAAATTTGTTATATAATCTCCTTTGGATTTGTGCTGCATGGCAGTCATTTTATTCTTCCCTTATGATTCTCCTACTTCATTATCTACAGCACCTATTCCAAACTTGATTCTTCCTCTCATCAGACAACCTATGCCTTCTTTCCCGACTTTTCCTCTCACCAAAGAACCTTGATTCCTACTTTACCGAGAAAATGAGGTCTTTAAACTTTCTGTTTTCCTCCATACCACACCTCAAAACCTGAGACTAACCTTGTATTCTCGACCTTCTATTCTCGATCCTGTCCCTTTCAGTTTCCTTTTGGAATATGCTGCCTTGATTATTCTCCGTCTCTTTTATTTCAGATCTCACCTTATCTATTGGCTTCTTCCCTGCTGCCTATAAACATACCCAAATTGCTCCCATTCTTTTAAAAAAAAAAACCACTTGCCTCAGCCATTCCATAAAACTATTGTCATAAAATCCCTTGTCCTTTCATAGCCGAACACCTCGAAAATATCGTCTATACTCATTACCTCCATTTCTCTAACTCCCTATCAATTTTCAACTCCTTGTGATCTGGCTTCCAACCTCATTGATTTACTGAAACTGCTTTCTCTAAGGTGTCCTGTAGTCTCTTAACTGCAAAATCTAATAGCCTTTTCTCAGTCCTCATCCTTCTTGACCTCAGCAAGGTTGACCACTTTCTCCTCTGGATACCCTCCCCTCTCTGGGTTTTTATAACACAGCTCTTGCTGGTTGTCCTTCTATCATACTTCTTTGCGGAGTCATCTATCATCTGTGCCCCACCCCTATCCATGGGTGTCACCCTGCACTGTCCTGGACCCTCTTCTGGTTTAATGATCCCATCACTTCCCATAGGGTCAATTCTCATGTCTATAGAAATGAGTCCCAAATCTACATATCTAGCATTAATTTCTCTCCTCAACTCTAGCCTCCACATCACCACAGAATTTATTATCTTTCTCAGCTAAAACCTCCTTTCTTCCCAACATCACTGATTTTGGTGAGGGCACCACTTTCCTACCAAACATCCAGGTTTACAACCTGATGGTCTTCCTCAACTGTTTCATGTCTCTCAAACTCCACCCCAACTATTGTATCCAGTCAGCTGCCAAAGTTTCTCAGCTCTACCTCCACAACATCTCTCACATCCCTTTTTCATGTTTCACTATTGGAATAGCCTTCTAATTAGTGTTTTGTCATTAGGCTGTTCCTTCTCCAATCCATTCTACATGCCAGATTGATATACCTAAAGCACAAATCTGACCATATCACTCACCTGAAGAAACTTTAATGGCTCCATGTTGCTTATAGGGTAAAATACCAACCCCTCTGTTTACATTGAAGTATGGCTTCAGATTTGCCTTTCTAGAATATTTCTACGTATTCCCCTTCACATGCTTTATGTTACAGACAAACTGGTTTACTTGCCATTCCATACTTGATGTTCTTGCTTCCATGACTTTGTGGAAGGTGTCATCTGGACTGAGAACAATCTTCTTCCTCACTTCCACCTCTTGGAAGCTCTAGTTCCTTTCAAGACTCATCTCAGGTGCCATTTTGTACACAGAGCCTCTCTAATCTCTCTGCCCCCCAGGCTCTGTGCCCTTCCTTTACCTGGGATTGCTTTGTTTTTTTAATACGTGTTTTATATTTGGTTACCTAATGAATACGTTATTTGTCAGAAGGACAATACAAAGCTCTTTGGAGCAAAGACTGTTTCATTTTTGTCTTTGTGATCCCCAGAATCTAATATATAAGAAGTGCTTGTTGAATTTGTATAGAGCTGTATGTACAGTAGTTGCTTATTTAACAGTGGGGAACCACACTGATGACCTGTGTCTACAGTTAAAAGGAAAAATGAGAGAAAATATCCACTTTCATTAATTTAGTGAATAATTGTTTCCTCCACTATATTGCACTTGCCCTTTATAAGTGTTTGAAAATTAAAGAGGAACAAGTTTGAACAGTGGCAGTTTTCCCCAGTCTTCATTTAGGTTAGGTTAGTTGTCCTGCTTGAAAATTCTTGCCTCAGATAGAAAACATAGTGGTGTTCAGGTCAGCTACGACGGACTTTCAAGGAAGATTGCAGTTTTTCCACTTGGAATTTTTTAGAAGTCATCGGTCTTGACCTTCATTTCTTTTCAAGAGTCTACCCCTAGCCAAGTTAGACAACTATAATGCTAACACAGCAACCCCAGTCTCAGATAATGCTTATGATCCGTGGAGGCAGAACTCTTCCATTTAAGATGATGAATTTAATTATTTGCTTTGAAACCTGTAGGTCGTCCTCTCCTTTTGAGTCTTACTACAGAAGTGGATAGTCTGAATCTTTGCAAAGACTCAGCAATTCTAAGGGGCAATTCCAAGCATTTTCCTTTAAAAAAAATTTTTTTTAAAGTTACTCATAAAAACTTTACCCAACGTTTTCTGTATATTGCCTCATTGGGTTCATTTCATGGTTTCTGACACCTGGTGAATTAATTTGCTTTCCCCTTAATCTTCAGTTTTTCATATTGTGGTGACATGTATTATAGGGGCTTAGTATTTTTGAATGAGTGTCATCTGTTGGTGAGTATTGAATGAGTCCCTTTTTGTTTTGAACGATCATGTAGTTTTCTTCCTATCTTGTCTTACTTAGCACCTCCCCTTTTCCCAAAGATAGTTGTAAACTATTTAATTTTTTTTATTTTGTTGCTATTTGTCTTTAGATCATAGTT